CCCTCTCTAGCTCCACTTTGTCCCGGACGAGGCAGGGCGGACAAGCCTGGACGCAGTATTCCAGATGAGGCCGAACGAAAGCCGAGAACAGCCTCGTAAAGATGCCGCCCGTCAAGACTCCGAAAGAACGTCGGATTAACCATAACATGCGGAAACCTCTGCTTGCGGTGTTCTTCCAGTTGTAGCCGGATTGTAAAGCCGAAGAGTGTACGACGCCTAGGTCAACCTGGCTAGATACACGGGGGAGTTCGACCCCACCGACCAAGTACTTCGCAGGGGGACAACCTCCTCCAATTCGAAGAACGGAGCACTTTGCCGAAGGACGGAGCACTCTGCCAGAGGTAGATAACGGCAGTGCAATATCTAACCTAGATTTTTTGCAGCATTTACTGCGCAATGTCATAATGTACATCACCGCACAAAGTGCTCGGTGTTATCCGAATTATAATCAGGTTATTCTGATGGGAATCGAAATCAAACACGCCTGTGCTATGGTTTGCTACGCCCCTTTCCAACCAACCATGGGTGTGGTCTTGTAGAGCCCTGACAATAATGAGAACTTTACTAATAGGGTCTATTCAAATGGTCAGCAGCTTCGTTACGCGCTGCAGGTTTATGGTATTCTCTGCGAATATTATGTTATGTGTGAGCAGACAGAGAACAAGTCCACCGTAATAAATAGCTGACCGTCCTTGTGTCTCTAATCCATTGTTACGGAAGAGTCTCCTTGCTCTTGCGATATGGTCACCCAACGAGAATAGCACTTGAAAGGTGATGATACAAGGTATTCATATAAACGCGAACCTACTACTCCTCACTTTAACAAAAATGTAAGAATAAATGGCATCAACCAGTATGTCGCACCGACTCTTCACTGCCTCATGAATACCACCACTCGGGCTAGCAATACGGCTAGGTCGCCCACATTTATGCATTTCCGAACTAATGACTTTAGGGTTACAAGGCAGAAGTCCGTTCCATTCGGCCATCGGGCTTCTGAATGAAAGCGACTAGCAATCAAAAATAACAGTCTATCTAATGCAACCGTTTTGTTATTGTTATTATTCTTATTGCGAAGTTATCTACATCCGGCACCTCAAAGCAGAATTATGTGTACAAAACCGTTTGTACGTACTTTACTTCTACCGTGGCCTATAACTTCAGCTGTGATTTCCTCTGTACATACTTCGCCACCTTGAATGACCCCGTGATTTATTGATTTGTTCCTGTTGGAATTAAATATTCTGATCCAATACGCAACCCGCTCCGGCACATTTAGCGCTTTCTCATCATCATGTAATGTTCGAGTCTGATGAGAATTACCGAAACGAATTATTTACGCATATACTGCCTGCCTTGATTCACTCTAATAAATGGGAATTTTTGGATTGCTGAAGACCAGCATTCCCAGTGATCCAGTCAAGCTTATTATTATGTCAGCTGTACGCCGTAACGGCACTTCGCTGCCGCGCGACCACCAGTCCGGCGCGGGTTGAGTATACCGTGAAGACGCCCACACCTAGGCGGATTCGAACCGGTGACCCTGTGGTTGCAAAACAGGCGCGCAAACCACTCGGCCACCGGCCGACTAATGTAACTGTAGAGTTGGACCATAGCATAGGTCACTTCCAGTTAGCAACCCTGTTTCTGGAGAACAGGGGCGTCTTCAGTCCAACGTTGCTGCACTTGGACATGGGAACCGTTAAAAGTTACATTCGACCGTCGCGACCCCATTTAGTGGTAACCCATTTATGAGGCATCATTTGGGCGGCCAACTGGCGCACTGCATTCCGTGCGACCTTGAATTTGAAATTATCCATCAGGTGACCGGAACGACACACTCACCTGAGGCTGGGCTGCGCACACTCAGGATCGATGTGTAACGCAATTTTATCTACACTGCTGCAGCTACTCGTGTGGTACATCATGGCGTCTTGGGTTCAGATGCAGTTAAGACGCCTGCTGCGCAGTCGTCCCGTTGAGGTTGTTCTCTGGAATTGACAAATCGTACAGAATATCTCGAAGTGATTTTATTCCGCGTCTCCACGTATGGCGCAGGCGCGAAATTACTGCCGTTTTGATGGATAGTGTCCATAATGCTTCCATCCGTTCAACCGTGATGTACGGTTGTAAAAATTTTTCCCATTAAATAGGCATAAAAACTCTAGTTGCGTTCGACCATCGATGCTTCCGAACTTTGGACCGTATACGGTGTTAACAATGTCTGCGCAATGCTTATGTTCTGTGCTTTGTTTATGGTTTAATATGAGTAAGTGAACCTCTCAGCACTATTATTTCATGTATCAGATTCCGATGGCTGGACCATGTGTTACGTGCAACAGCATACCGTACGTTGTTTAAGAGAAGGGAGTCTGGATGGTTACTTGACCAAAAGGTGTAAAAGCTTTCGATTCGAAGAGGTCGTCCGTGAATGACCCCCGAGAGATGATGAACAATTTCTGTTGGATACACTTGTTGACATGATAAAGAACCGACCACAATGAGGTTTGTGTTATAGACTGCCCTGTCCCTCCCTTCCAACCACGAGCTCAGCATCGACGCAAACTAATTAAGAGTATAGTATCACTTGCTTCTCTGTTGTACTTTATAATATTTATGTGTTGGTATTTTTACTTTGCGAATATCTTGCTACATGTTACTGTGGTACAGTAAGTGAGGTATTTCTCGCCCCCGGTTGCTGTGTGTAATGCTGACTATCCTCTTGATTCCCATGTCCCAGATGGCACCTCTAAATCAGTCACAAAGCCTTCTCACTTCAGTGAAATGTAGCCTTATTGCGTTTTGAGTGTTTGAGTCAATTTTTTATATAGTTAAATGCTACAGGAATTCAACATGTGTGAGTCGCTGTCTGCCCTAGACCGACATTGCAGTGATCACTTCCTAAGTTCGCATTTTGATAATTTTTCGGCGACCAGCGATAACTGTTGATCCCTTCAACGTATTCGTGAGGTATTTCGTAACGCTCTCTCTTTCTCTCTCTCTCTCTCTCTCTCTCTCTCTCTCTATATATATATATATATATATATATATATATATATATATATATATATATCCTGAGAACACTTTTTCTTGCGAATCTTTGGACGTTCTTCTAATCCAATAGCTGTTCTCTTACGCCATCAGGGAAGCTGTGGGTGCCGAAACTTTCTACCATGTTTGCTGTTACAGCCTGCAGAGTTGCTGCAGAAAAGGAATCCGATCTTGTCCATTAACAATGAACTGCCGATATGTGTCATCTTTAGGTAAAATAAGGTGGGTGCACTAATAACTGGAGGCCGCTGCGCAAATCTTTTACCTGAAGTATGAAATTAAACACGTTTTTAGAACGGAGCAAGTTTTCCGGTGATAACGTGGAATTCAAGATATATTATCACGTGCTTTCACAACAGGTAGATTGATTTCATCCAGGAAGAGGATTGCAGAAATTTCTTCCAGTCAAATGGATTAACTGAGCTATGCATGTAGATTCGCTGCGTGTACTCTAATGGAGGACATGCAGGTCAGACGTGAGAGCTGTTTGTCATAATATTTCTTGCTGGATGCACTTCTTGAACTGGAACTGGAACAACTGTCATCCTGCTCAAACCAATTGGGATCTAGATCAATACACCACGCCGGTTGCAGATACACAATCTCATCAGTGCCGGTAAGGAAGAGGAGAGAAAGAGAAGGTGAGGTATAATCTAAATGACACAAACACGCGTCTAGACTCAGGGTGCTTGAGATTGACCAAAACTACATGGGAACAATTCATAGAGAGCGGCTTACGTTTACTGCTTTCCACGGCCAAATCAGCACCATGTAATCTTAGTTCAAATAGGTATCAGTCAGTGAACTTCAGTAGGTACAAGTTTCTATCTTCCCGAGACACGCAAACCGGTGATAGTTAATCCGAGACTGGAAGCTGAAGCATACCAACTGAATCGTATATAACATACGGACACCTTATTCCCCAGTGTTCGGTCCAACGACTTCCCCCTAGAACTTAAGCCCACGCCACACTGGAAAAATTAGCAAACACGCTTCTCAGTAAGCTAAGAAGTGGCATAATTGGTGAGTGTCTTGACAAATACATTTTGTTCATGGACAAATTCTGCAACTAGCCTTAGTTGTTGGAATAACTGACTAACCTGATCGTTAGCGCTCAAATCATGGAGCTGTTTTGTAACCCTAATTGCAGAGCTAACCTAAGGTAAGTAGTGCAAAGTTCCGGAAGCATATTTGCTGTTTAGGTCACCATATCTCATGAGCTGGCAATGCAGACCATGATGGTGGAAAATCCTCTATTGATTCCGCGTGGTATGGCATGGTATGGCGTATGATATGGCTTAGCTCTTAGGGTGATGATTCATGCAAATTAAGTCACGTGATCGTTACGGCTAAACTGCTTTCGCTATGCAGCCAGCTGCTAGCCTTCCAAGCAAAGTGGAAATCCGTACTCTCCTTGATTAGCTATCAAAAAAGTAAGATTGCGTCTCCCTGATCGCGCAGTCAGTTTAGTCGGATGAGATCAACTTCGGCTAGCCAATAGGCGACACTTGTCTACACACAGGTCAAGCTAATTGGTCAAACGATTTACGCGACGGCGCTAAACATCAGCCGTAAAAGTAACTCCGCACACCTGATAGCGATTGACACGTTCGTCTGATTTGTATATGTGAACGCAGTGTGACCTTACGGACTTACGCTTAGTCGGTTGTGTTTGTTACAGCTCATGCATCCGTTCTCCCGAGGTAAGTCGAATTTGCCCGTGGAATTGGCTTTCATTAACAAATACCCAATATATAACAACTGTTGGAACCGGAGTGTATCCGTACTAATTAGTAACTGATACTGATTCATAGACTAAGCACACTTTCTAACACTGATCAAGATTACTGCCATTACTGTTGTAGATGCAACGCCCGACTAGTTTACCTAAGAAGTTTGGCAAGTTTCTGAAAAAGATGGGCAGAACTAACCGCCGTGTTTTGTGGATATTGGCTATTGTGCTATCGGGTATTCTCCTTCTTTTATTCACCGGTGGAGATGGATGCAGATGCAGTTGCGATGGAAGTTATGCTGCATTCACGGGCATCCCCAATTTACATGCAGCCTACCAAGATTTTCAGAAAGGATCTACGAATCATCTACGGTATCCAGCCGACTTTCCCGTGATCATGCAAGATGTCAATCTGTGTCGATCAAGCGATCAGCCTGACCTAATTGTCCTTATCAAAACAACTCATGAGCAATACCGCCTACGACAGCAAATACGTCAAACATGGGGTAATTCGTCCTGCTACTCCAAACACGGGCTATCAGCACGTGTGTTGTTTCTTTTTGGTGTGTTGGCCGATCAAGTGGAGTTAAGGGATCATCTACAGACTCAGCTTAATTGGGAACACCTGACATATCAGGATATCCTTCAGTTCGGTTTTGTAGACACTTATCGGAACAACACGCACAAAGTTAAAAGCGCTCTAAAATACTTAACCGAACGTTGCCCACTATCCCGACATATTGTTATCTTCGACGAAGACTTCCTCGTCCACCCTCGTAATTTGGTCACTACTCTGAACAGTGTAACGGAAATTCAGTATCCCATATTCTTTGCAGGACTGGTAAGAAGAGCAGAGGGTCCATCTCGGTACGTGCGTAGCAAATGGTATGTTAGCCGCGGTGAGTATCCTTACAACGCATATCCACCTTTTGTGTGCGGAGGCGCTGTGCTCATGAGTATGCCATTTGCCAACATGCTGTCCTTCGGATTGCAGTCGATCCCTTATCTGTTCATGGATGACATTCTCATGGCAATTGTAGCTAATGAATTCAACATTCTTCCTGTGAATGTGGCGGGAATCCATTCGCCATGTGGACTAAAGCGACTCAATCGGAAGCTGGCAAGCAACCTGGTCGCTGCGCACGAATTCAGAGATGTGGTCCACCAAGCTATAGGTTGGACAATACTGCCGCAGCCGTGCTGACAGCAGTTGTCCAGTGAATCCCAATGCAACATACAAGATTTGCTATACTCACTGTCCTTGGATAAAACAATGGGAAGGCAACAGTGTATGTGCGTACTGAATGTGAACCCAACCAGTCAACTCCCACGCGCGGCCTTGTCGTAATGGCCCCAATGGACCCAGACACCCAAGTTGCTACCGCTGTAGATTAACACGGCAATTTTGTCCAAGCGCATCCGCCAGGGTTACAGCCTCCCTGCATTCTGCCTGCATTTATTCTAGACTATTTGTTGCTGCGACTGGAGGAACAATGCCCCAGCTACTGTGTACAGTAAACGTGTAAAGTCCCTATTCTTAATTCCTATTCTTGCAACCCCATCACACTTATGCACTGGTCGATTTAAAGTCCATCCGGCACATATATGTGTAGTAAAAGTCCCACTGGGTGATGATATGTGCATTTTCTATTACGAGTGATCCTGGCAAGGCCTGCAGTTGTGTGTATTTTGATGGAATATGTCGGAATTGCAGTGGCAGCTCAGTTGCGACCCATGTTGAGGTCTCAGCGAAAAATCGAATTAAGGAAGCTTTGGTAATCAATCGGTAAGTGGTTAGATTGTACATAAGAATACATTAAGTGAAGTCAGAGACACTGTTGACTTTATTTGAAACGTCTTCAACAACAATTTTAGGAGTAAAACCTTAATGTGATAACGCTGTTGTTAGCAAAACTCTGCCTGGATAGCTCATCTCAGGAGGATGCTAAATATAACTAGGAATTAAGGTTATCCTTCCCTTGTGCAGACCGACTGAGTATCCGCCCCTAGGGCATCATGCCGTATTCTAAAATTATGTTCTCTGTATGGGAAAGCATGAGAACAGGGACGTGGTAAACTGTATACTATTCAGTGTAGGCCACATCAACATTCAGGCTAACATAGAGCTCAGCAGCTTCTCACTTAGTGGTCACTTCGAGACCACAACATCGATTTGATAACAGAGCACGCTTTTCTAAGTACTAGGTGGATGAACTAAACCCCTGTGTTATGTAGTGAAAGGCAGTGGAGTGGAATCATCGGTATGGGCTCTGTTGGAACCTGTTCAGAGAGGTACAATGCCCCAAGGGTTACTGCTAACAGCCATTGGTCAAGTATCAGTAAATGTGGCAATATCACTAAGGTAGCAGTATTTACCAGCTCCCTCACTCTTCTTTGCTTACTTTCATGTGTTTCATGGGTTTGTGTAGAACGAGTAAGCTTTGGTTTTCGGTGGTTCTGCCTCGAGGTTTTACGGCAGGGTCCTGTTGTTCTCGGTAGGTTCCAAGTGTTGTAGATTGCGACTCAAGAGTGGTGTGGGGCGCAGGTATCCAGCGTCTTGATAGCGGGGATGTGGCTACCTAAAAGAAAGGGCCCAGTGTGCTGGTAAACGGCCGATGTTGGCGGTGTCATTGCTTTGCAAATGAGGGCATATACGTGGCAGTACGGGGACATAAAGGTTTCAGACAGTGTGACAATTTGGTAAAGTTAAACAAGAACTAACTAAGAGGAGTGCCGCGAGCTTTGTGTCAAAAGCAGTGACCCTACCAGCTAACTTAGCGAATGACCCAAGTCTTTCAACATGAAAGTAGAGTAAAGTAAATCGCCAGCTGTACACCCTAACGGCGCTTCGCTATCACGCGACCTGCAGCAGTCGGGTGTGGGCTGAGTATACCGCGAGGGCGCCCGCCCCTACACGGATTTGAACCGGTGACCTTATGGTTGCAAACCAGACGCGCATACCACTCGGCCACCGGCCGACTCAACATGAAAGGCCAGCGAGGCAAGAGTCAAGCATCTAGGCGTCGTCTGAAGACCTATGTATTATGCACTGAGACAACCGTTACAGGCAGGACGTTCCAGACAAAGGCGATACACACACTAAAGCTGGTTTTTCGGCACTGAAGCCGTCTACTGCGTTTCATGACTTTCAGCGAGGGCCCTCTTAGATGGTCTGTACGAGAGCGAACTAGTAAGTCGGTAGTAGGGTGCCTGTTGTTAGTCAAGAATAGAATAGGATAGGATGAGATGACCACGAAGCCTACGATATTTCAATGGGCCGCAAGGTGCTCTTCCTACGGTAGGTGGGATAGTCCCACCACTCTCTTAGTGGCTCTGCGCTAGACGGTTTCCAGCAGAGCCTCGTTCTTCTTCATATACGGCGGTTGGACCAGTACATTGTACTCCGACAGCGGACGTACCAAGATGCTGTAGAGGCGGACATATATTTCTCTAGGGAATGACCCTAATGCAGGCCAAGAAGGGCCAGGCGCACGCTGGCCTTTCTGGCTAATATGGCTACATTAGCGCTTGGGCTCTGGTCGGTGGATATAATAGTGCCTAAGTCGCGTTCTTGGGATGTGGCATTAAGACGCACGCCGCCTATGGTGTATGGAGTGCTCGCACCTTGTCCGCTGTGCATGACCTTACACTTGACGGTGTTGAACGGGAGAAGGTTTTCCGAGGCCCAGGAATAGGCAGCAACGATGTCTCTCTGAAGACGCGTTTGATCGCTTGGCTCGCGGATAGGTCGCCATATCTTATCATCGTCCGCGTAGAGCAGTATATGGCTGCTAATAAGACATGGTAGGTCATTAATGGAGAAAGTGAATAGCAGGGGCCCGAGGATAGATCCTTCGGGCACTCCGATCATCGCAGCCAGAGCGCTGGCAAGTGCGCCATTTACACGAACTTGGTAGGTGCGCCCGGATAGATAGGTCCTTAGCCAGCAGCTTTTTGCTGACCGATCCCCAAACTCGGTAGTTTACTTAAATGAACTGCGTGGTTAATCCGGTCAAATGCTTTTGAAAAATCTAGATAAAGCACGTCAGTCGGAATTTGTCTGCCTCTGCTGTCCAGCAATCAAGTGCTACGAGATGATTCATGATGCATAAGTGAGCACTGTGAAACCCGTGCTGTTTCGGGGGCTATTAGGGATTGGCTTTCTAGCTGGTACCGCAGAGCATCGTCTGTGATGCTCTCCATTACTTTGCAAGCAGTGGGAAGCAGTGCTATTAGGTGGTAATTAGCAGGGTTGGTCCTATCACCACCCTTGTATATCGTTGTTATGACCCCTTGCTTCCAGGTGTTCGGATATTCTGCGCTGGTGTGAGAGCGGCTGTACAGTGAGGCAAACGGTTCGGCTAGTACGGTAGCACACTCACGCGGAAAGATGGAAGGAATCTCACCCAAGCCCGGCGATTTGTCTATCCTTACTTTTGCTAATTTTTCCAGAACTTTCTCTAGCGTAAACTGTACCTGATGTCTGACAGCGCCGAGAGTGAAATTAGGGTCTACCATTGTACTGCGTGCCGATGTACTAACAACGGACTCATACTGAACCTTCAGCAGTTCTGCAGCTTCTTTGTCCGCCGTTGCAGTGTTGCCGTCGGGTCTGAGCAGGCTGCCGATGGCAACCCGCGATTTAGTGAGAGAGGCAACGTGTCGAAAGAAGACCCTGGAGTTATCAGCGAAGCGTCTAGTGATGGCAAGCTGGTAGGCTTTTTTGTCTTGAAGAACAGCTGCTACACAGGAATTTCGTACTCTACGATATTGTGATCGCGATTCAGAGCCACAAAGTGGCAAGAACCTGTCCCGGAGGGCCTAGTTTTCCTTTATCAGTCTGTGTGGCGGGCTGAAGCTGCTTGTGGGGTTTCTGCGCAGAAGCACACACTGTAAAGAATGTATGCCACAACGGCGTCGTTGATGTGAGCAGAGATTTAGTTCCAGTGGTCATGGACTGTGGGAGGTTGCGTTACGAGGGACCTAGTGGGTAATGCTTTGGCCTTGAGCTTGACATTTGCCACCATCCGAAAATTGATGACTATCTGATCACTGGCACCGAGTGAGGCCTTCAGTTTTTGGGTTGTCAAATAAATGTGGCTCATTAGTGAGCAGTAAGTGGAGTTCCGACGGGCTTTGCCCTTCTCGCCACCAAGTGAACTGCTGTAGGTATTCTAAAACCCTGAAAAGAAATTCGTAGTCGTGCTGGCCGTGAGCCTGGCCAGAGGCAAGGTCGATCTCCAGGAAATTGAAGTTCCCTGCGACGAGTAGGGGTGAACCTACGTTAGAATCAACTACTCGAAGGGTTCCATTCCAGTTCCACAGCCATTCTGGAGGAGCTAAGGGCAGGCGATAGACCACTCCAAGAGTGGGACTAGTCGCACCGGAACGGCGGAGACGAGTCCAGAGTGATTCGGGAAGAGATAGCAGTTCTGACGTTTTGAGAGGGACGCATGTAAGGCGGTCTGGCACGTACACAGCTACGCCACTGCCCCTGCCGCGTTCACAGTCGTTTCAAAGCACCTGGTAGAGCCCGTTGGGTTTGGTTTAAAAGCAATTAGGCGTCAAGAGCTAAGTGTCTGAGCTTTCTACTATAACTTGAAGCGGACACATCCTTGGCCTGGACCCTTCATTAGCTGGAAAGATCGGACTTCAGTAGTACTTCACCACGGACAAAATCAGTCAGTGGAATGCTTCGGTGAGATAAGCTACTTCGTCCATTTATTGATGTTAATGGATGCAACACCATATGCGAGCTCTCGTCCAAAAGTTGTTCCTCAGTCCAGCGACTGAAACCAAGCATGATTACTAACTTGCTAAAGCATAGAAAGTAAGTCGTTCCATCCATGGGAATCTAGCTAATTATCCCTTTGGCTTCATCAAGTTTAGCGATGCGCTGGTCACCCAGATCATGTGGCCACCCTTCTGCCAATTGTTAATCGGCTACCTACAGGTTTCGAGACAAGCGCAGTTAAAATACAAATAGACTGCTTTAATACGATGTGTCGTGCATGGCTACTGTTATTACAAGCGGCTGCTCATGAGCCAAACCCTATCCTCTACAATGTACAAATTTGTATGACGGTGAAGAATGAGTCGCGCTATATTTCAGATACCCAGTTATATTATAATCTGCGACCGTTACTCGTGACCCTCCGCATAACCCGTTGACACAGAGGGATCGTGAGTTCGGTTCCTGATGGAGCCCAGCGGGTGTGCGCTATTGAGGAAATCCATCGGGACGAAACGGCAGTCTAGTGCTTTGCTAGACTTGTTGGAACTTTTCTGGATGAGCGATAACTGTGAAGAACAATCTATGGGCATCCTCTCGATCTCTCCATCTGCAGTGTCAGCCTTTCTCATCAAGATTATTCCGGCCCACTACGATGTGTAATACGCTTCACGGCAAGCTACATCTGAGGCTTGTAGCCCTTGTGATGGCTTTGTTCAAATATCAGGCGCATGTAATACGTCTAACCGAATGCTTCAAATTAATAAGTACTCCTCAGCCCTGTTCACAGATTACCAACTGGTTCTGTGCTCTATCAGTAGTTGACCACACTTCGCCATTTGGTGATTCCGTACCGTTATTATTTTCGTTGTAAAGTTTGCGATGAGTACATTTTGGAAGTAGACCCACGGTCTATCGAGACACAATGTTTGCTTAGAATTCATTGTCAGGTAATTCTGTTAGCTTAGGCAATTTTATGGTGTTCTCAGTGCGAA